TGTCCGACCTGAAGGCACATAACAACAACAACAGTATCTACGTGAGATTATCTTCAGGTAAATTTATCCTTGATCTGGGTTATGTTCCTGTTTGCCAACCCCCACCTGATCTTCTCAGTTGTTTGCGTATTTATCTGTGCGTGGTGTTTGGTGTTACTGGTACTGCAGTATTGTGCATATACTAGTATTTGTCTCTGTTGTCTTTATCTTATGTGTACGTTTCAGTGTCCTTCCTTTCCCCAGTGTCATCATGCTGGTCATACATAAATGAATCAATTTGTGATGGCCCCAACATGTTTGGCAGTTGGTAGCCTATTGCCTCTCTGTTAAGTCAAAATCCAAAGCCTAACTAAGCTGTTGTTGTTGTTAGTTGCAGTGGAGCTGGCCTCCGACCCACAGCAAACCCACGCACAGGGGAAGGAAATGCTGCCTGGGCCCGCCCCACCCCTGTGATCAGCTGCACATCTGACCACTGCGCCTCGGGCTTTTCACCGGCTGATGTTTTGGAAGTAGATCACCAGGCCTCTCTTCCTGCTCCACCTTAGTCTTAAAGCTCCTCTGAAGCCTGTTTGGTATCCGAGCAGCACACAAACCTCCGCTGACGGACAGGTGGTGGCCATGCATGAGGGGCGCTGGCTGGGCATCAAACCCAAGTGCCCATGTTGAAAGGGAGGTTTCCACCACTGACCCACCACCAAAGCCCCCAACTAAGGATTTATTCTACTCCATTTTAGTTCTGCTTTTCCATTCTGTCCCTTCTCATCCAAATAGTCCAAACATGTTTCTCTCACACCCACCATCCCCTGAGCCCTCTGCTTACAAGTACCTGGAAAAGGTAGACATCTCCAAAGGAGTTGCTGAGGCAGAACACGTTCTCCTTCTTGGGGTGCTCTGGGACAGACTGCACGATGCTGTCTTCGGCAAGCAGAGCACAGTGAGGGGTACTGCTCTGATCAGTGGGATTCTTCCCGTAGGTCTCATAAAACAGCAGGGTGCAGCCTGCGAGAGAGAGGAAAAGGCCGGCCTGTCACCCATCCTGGGACCTGGGAAACAATGGGGAAGGAGACTGACACAGCCAATGAAAACCAGAATGAAACACACAATGAACAGAAACAAGGTGAACAAGCAGAAGACAGTGTCTGAGGTACACTTCCTTATATCAGTGTTAATGTAATTGAAAAGGAGATGT